TCCCTCCCTCCCCTCCTCCATCCCCCTGCCTCTGATTCGTCAGACCGGAGTGAATGTCCCTCTTTTTGTCTCCACTCCCCTCCCTCCCTGCGAACACTCTCTCACTCCCCCCCCCTCCTCCATCCCTGATTAGATATACCGATTCCTCCTTTCAATGGACGTCATTTAAGCGCAGACTCCTGCCTCGAGTTGCGTCCTCCGCTTCGCGCGCCACATCTCCTCCACTTCTTCTTCTTTTTTTTTCTTCTTCTTCTTTCCCTCATTCTTGAGCAACCCGTGTGATATCAGCAGCCATGAACGCGCTCTGTTAGGGAGGGAAGAGGGCGCACCGAGAAGCGGCTCTGTTATGAGCTCCAGCCCGGGGACGCTGTGAGAGAAGCCGGAGAGCGAGGAGAAACTTTCAGCCCCGATCCACCAGCAGCTTTTTTTTATTCTTTGCTGTTTTTTTGTCCTTTTTAAATGAGGAGCAGCTCGGATCTTTACAGTTTGGTTCTGATGGATTATCGTCCTGCTGCTGAGGCGCACTGAGGGCCACCGTCATCCTGCAGGAAACCAGTCTGATTTTTTTTTCTGGGGGGGCCTTCAACAGTTTTTTTTCTTTATTTGCTCGCCCCTCTCCTCTATCTAACACTAACAGTGTTCTCCAAGTGATTTTTATTTCATTTCATTGAGAGGCACCAACATTAAACATGTTAGTGCACAGTTTCTCTGCGATGGTAAGTTGTTCGTGTTAAGCTGTTTTTTTAAATATGCTATAATTTATCCACTAAATCTAAGCCTATTTTTTGGATGGTACATGTCTAAAAGCGTTCAAATAATTATAATAATTAAAAAAAATAAAATGAACATTTATTTCTCACCCTGGGAATTTGTGKATTAATTTGTTTTTAGATTTATATTTTCTTTTTAATTTGTTGAGAGGATTTTTACATTTGCAAATATTTGTTTTTTTCCCCTTAAACTATAATTTACAATGAATAACATTGTTTTATTCCAGAGGCCATGCAGAGACTGAGTCCTCCCYTGCAGCTAAAATAAAGTGGGATTAAAAAAGAATGATTTCGGCTGAAAATAAAGCCTTTTCTCTGTCTCCCTCCCCTGTCAGGACCGGCACGACGGCACCAGCAACGGGACAGCCAGGCTACCTCAGCTGGGCGGCGTGGGCCAGAGCCCCTACACGAGCGCGCCGCCGCTCTCCCACACGCCCAACTCGGACTTCCAGCCGCCGTACTTCCCCCCGCCCTACCAGCCCATCTACCCGCAGTCTCAGGACCCGTACTCGCACGTCAACGACCCGTACTCCCTGAACTCGCTGCACGCCCAGCCGCAGTCGCAGCACCCGGGCTGGCCGGGCCAGCGGCAGGCCCAGGAGAGCGGCCTGCTGCACCAGCACCGCTCGCTGCCCCACCAGCTGTGCCGGGAGTACCGCAGGGAGGTGCTGCTGCCGTCCGGACACGGCCTCGACACGGGACTGTCGGACTCTATCCCCATCCATGGAATACCTCACTCTTTAGAAGACGTTCAGGTGAGGCAGCTCTGCTCCAAACTGCTCCTTAATATAAATATTTGTCTCTAAACGACGAAATAATGAAGTTCATTTGATATTTTTATTATAATTAAGTAAATCAACGCTTTACGCTCTGTTCAGGCTGATATTTTTTTAAATTCCTAATAATTATATTACATTTTTATTTGTAAAAATACACTAAATTATATAATAAATACATTTTAAATATCTGAAAATAAATGAGAACAAAACGCTTCATTCTCCTCTGTTTTTAAAATATATTAAAAACAATTTTTTAAACTCTATAAATCATTTAATTAGATTTTTTTTGTTATGAACTGCATTGGAAAGATTTCTGCCAGGTTTTTCCGACACGTTATGACTTTTATTAGATTTCTCTTTGCAGACAAAAGCTCTCCGCGCACAGTGACGCGTTGCGCGCGCGCTAACGAGAGAATCGAGTTTGCTGTATTGAGTTTGGGCTAAAAAGATGCGTGATGAATGAGCTCCTGGATTGTCAATAAAGCCCCGCTCTGATTCAGATGATTCTTTACGTGGTTTTTTTTWAATCAGAAAACAAACAGATCATTTCTCTAATTAGTTCACAGGCCCTGTAAGAGGCTGCGCCGCCGTAATTACTACTCAATCCAGATTGGAGGTTTCCTTGTGGCAGGGAAACTGGGTCAGGGTTCTGGTGCGATGCGGGCTTCGTTATTTAAGTCTGGCTTTGTGTTGCCATGTGTGCTGCTTGGGGTCTGTGGAAGCCCAAAACCGGGACCAGGTTCGTGCAGGGCCTTGCAGGAGAAGCCTCCATGTTGTGCTGCTAATTGCGCCAGGCTCATTGTTCGTTGGTGCGCAGCGTCCTGAGATGCGTTCACGTACCCAGAAGTGACATTTCTGTGCTTTAATGCTAAAACTACACCCCGTTTTTTTCTTCTTTTGCATTTGTGTCACAGCCTGTTGAGGATCAAGGAATCCACATTCCCGACCAGACTGTAATTAAAAAAGGTAAGCAATTTCCTCTGAGATATCATGCATTTTTTCCCCTTCTTCTTGCACACACACACACCGACACACACACCGACACACACACCGACACACAGACACACACACTCATTCTGCTCCAGAGAACTCGATGCAATGCCTGACTGATCCTAATACGCAAGTAGCCTATTTTTCATTACATGCTTTCCAAGTGCATCAAACTGGCTGCACCTTTTTTTTCTCCCCTCTCCTCGCTGATGGAATTTACTGTCAGCGTTTCGGCGCAGCAGGGAGATGAGTGGAGCTGGTGGGCTTTGTGGGCCCCTGCTATTGATGGTCAAAGATGCAGGCTATAGAGGCAGAGACGACCCCTGGCACTTTAGGAACCAATAGCTGCAATCACGCAGCATGGCCAAATGTAAAATGGAAGCTGGACAGAAAGTGTGTGCTGGATGATAAAATGTCATTTGGAAAGCGAATCAAAACGGCTCACATGGCTGAGGTTTAATACCTCAAAATGCTGCTTTTTTTTGGTCGAGCTTGTTCCTGCTTTTACTTTTTTTTAATTTGTTCGTTTGAGTGTGCAGAAATGTAAGGAATAATATTGTTGATGATGCAACACAGGGAGGCCTTTTTTTGTCAGGTCAGATTAGACCTAACGTATCGAGATTTAGCTTCATTTCTTTGTTCCATTT